CGAGACGGCAGTGAGCCCCGGGATGAGGGTGGAGGGCGCAAGCGGCCTGCCCCGGACCCGGACCTACAGCGCCGGGCCGGGTCAGGGACCGGGGTCGGGGCCATGCTTGCTCGGGGCTCTGCTTCGCCCCACAAATCTTCTCCTCAGCCGCTGATGGCCACTCCCAGCCAGGTGAGTGGTGGCGGCGGCGGCAGGGGCAGGGTGGGTGACCCTTCTCGCCGCCGGTGATCCCCGACGGCCCTGGCCCTCCCCACAGCATCACCAGCAGCAGCAGGCGCAGCAGCAGCAGATCAAGCGGTCGGCCCGCATGTGCGGCGAGTGCGAGGCCTGCCGGCGCACCGAGGACTGTGGCCACTGCGACTTCTGCCGGGACATGAAGAAGTTTGGGGGCCCCAATAAGATCCGGCAGAAATGCCGGCTTCGTCAGTGCCAGCTTCGAGCCCGGGTGAGCACAGACAGGGCTGGGCCGGGTCGGGGGTGGGGAGGGCGGGGTGGGGGCCGGCGTGTCCAGGAAGCACTGATGGAGGCTAGAGTGGGGTGAGCCGGGTGCGCTGGGGTCTCCTTGCACAAAGACGGGAAGTAGCCTTGCCTTGCCAGAGGAATGGAGCATGATCGTGTGTGTGCTGGGCTAGCGGGAGAGACCCCACCCCCAACCCCTGGGTGGGCAGAGCAGGGCCAGAAGTGTCTAGGCGGTAAGGCATGCCAGTGCAGGTGGAAGGGGTTTGAACACAACCTGGCGCTGAGAGGGAGGTGGGGCCTGCAGGGACCGTTGCTTGCAGAGGCCAGAAGAGGCCAGGTGGGTGGAGCCAGATGCTTCCGGGAGGGGTTAGGGCCACCCTCCATCCACCTGGGGCTGACCTGGGCCTTCCTCCTGCCGGCACAGGAATCGTACAAGTACTTCCCTTCCTCGGTGAGTCCAGCCCCCAAGGGCGGGCGGGGCATGCGGGCAGGGCGGTCAGGGCCAGTCCTGAGATTCTGCCCCGCAGCTCTCGCCAGTGATGCCCTCAGAGTCCCTGCCAAGGCCCCGCCGGCCACTGCCCACCCAGCAGCAGCCACAGCCGTCACAGAAGCTGGGGCGCCTCCGGGAGGACGAGGGGACGGTGGCGTCATCGGCACTTAAGGAGGCACCGGAGGCTACGGCCACGCCAGAGCCACTGTCAGATGAGGATCTGCCACTGGACCCTGAAGTGTATCAGGATTTCTGCGCGGGGGCCTTTGATGACCACGGCCTGGTAAGCGAACAGCGTGTCCGTAACGAGGAGAGGTCGAGAACCTGGGAGGCAGATTTGGATAAACGGGGTCAGGGTGTGGTGGTCACGTGTGGAGTGGGTGCATTGGGACATGTCACCTTTGCAGCCCTGGATGAGTGATACAGAGGAGTCCCCAATCCTGGATCCTGCGCTGAGGAAGCGGGCGGTGAAAGTGAAGCACGTGAAGCGTCGGGAGAAGAAGTCGGAGAAGAAGGTGATGGGGAGGGTTAAGGTGGATGGTGGGAGGGGCCGGGAGCCTGAGTGCGAGGGGAGCGGGGGGGACTTTAGTTCTTCTTTGCCCCGTAGAAGGAGGAGAGGTACAAGCGGCATCGGCAGAAGCAGAAGCACAAGGACAAGTGGAAACACCCAGAACGGGCTGATGTGAAGGACCCCGCCTCGTTACCGCAGTGCCTGGGGCCTGGCTGTGTGCGCCCTGCTCAGCCGGGCTCCAAGTATTGCTCAGATGACTGTGGCATGAAGCTCGCAGCCAAGTGAGTCGTACCCAATGGGTGGGCGGTGGGCTCCAGGGCTCGGGTAGCATCCACGGCGGAGTGGCAGAGTATGACTGCTCACCGTAGTTAGCCAAGCGCCATCCAGCCGTTTCCATTCAGTCTCTCCACTAGTCCATCCACTTCTCAGTTAGTTGCCTCTTGTCCTTCCGCCTGTCAGTCCTCCGTTCTGCCCTCGGGTCAGGCCGGCCACTTACTCGTGTTCTTGCCACTCCCCCCGACTCTGCAGCCGCATCTATGAGATCCTCCCGCAGCGGATCCAGCAGTGGCAGCAGAGCCCCTGCATTGCGGAGGAGCACGGTAAGAAGCTGCTCGAACGCATTCGCCGCGAGCAGCAGAGCGCCCGCACGCGCCTTCAGGAAATGGAGCGCCGATTCCATGAGCTCGAGGCCATCATTGTGCGTGCCAAACAGCAAGCTGTGCGTGAAGACGAGGAGGTGAGCAGGCATGGGCGGCCTGCGCAGGGCAGAGCCCGGCCCAGTTCTTGGTCCGCCCCGGCCTCATCTGTTCCTTCTGCTCCGCGCAGAGCAATGAGGGTGACAGCGACGATACAGACCTGCAGATCTTCTGCGTCTCCTGCGGGCACCCCATCAACCCACGTGTTGCCTTGCGCCACATGGAGCGCTGTTATGCCAAGGTCAGGGTGTCAGCCTGAGGGGGCAGATGGGATGGGAGCATCAAGGGGCCATGGGCGGACAGGCGTGTTGCTGAGGCTGTCTTGGGAGGGCAGGCAGCACACCTCCACAGTGCCTTCCATTTGTGCTCCTTCCTCCAGTATGAGAGCCAGACGTCCTTTGGGTCCATGTACCCCACACGCATCGAAGGGTGAGTGCGGGCCTCGTCTTAGAGGAGGGCGGTTGAGGCTTGGATTAGCGGCGGGATGTTGGGGTCGAGTATGGGCATGTGTGAGGGTTGGTGGGCCCGCCCAGCTCCCCTTTATTTAAACCTCAGGGCCACACGACTCTTCTGTGACGTCTACAATCCTCAGAGCAAGACTTACTGTAAACGGCTCCAGGTGCTGTGCCCCGAGCACTCACGAGATCCCAAAGTAAGGCTTCTGCTCAGCACCCCCGTTTGTCCTCCCTTCCTCACTGCTCTGCCCTCGCGGTTCATCTTTCTTTCCGGATCACTTCCACTCGTTCTCCTCCTCCTTTCCCCATTGTCATCTATGGCTCCCTTTTCCTGTCTCCTCACCTATTCTCCCGCCAACCCCCATTTAAAATAAAGGGTTGGGGCTGGAGCGATAGCACAGCGGGTAGGGCGTTTGCCTTGCACGCGGCCAACCCAGGTTCGATCCCCAGCATCCCATATGGTCTCCCGAGCACCGCCGCCAGGAATAATTCCTTAGTGCATGAGCCAGGAGTAACCCCTGTGCATCGCCGGGTCTGACCCAAAAAGCAAAAAAAAAAAAAAAAAAAGGGGGGGGGGGTTTTTGGTTCATACCGACAGTGCTCAAAACTACTTCTGGTCTTGCACTCAGATAACCCTGGCAGGGCCTGGGGCAAAGCAGGGCAAGCACCGCCTGCCGTGTCATCTCTCCAGCCCCATTCCTTCCCTTCGCCCAGCTTTTCACCTTCCATTCCTCTCCTCTGCCCCACTGAACTCTCCCAATTGTTTGCTCCCTCCCCAGTCTCCATTCCTGTCTCCCTGTCTCATGCCCCCACTCCACTGCCACCTCTGTCTCCTGCAGGTGCCAGCTGATGAGGTATGTGGATGCCCCCTTGTGCGCGATGTCTTTGAGCTCACAGGTGAATTCTGCCGCCTGCCCAAGCGTCAGTGCAACCGCCACTACTGCTGGGAGAAGTTGCGGCGTGCTGAAGTAGACCTGGAGCGTGTGCGCGTGGTAGGTTTCCCTGCAGGACGTGCCAGCGTCAGCTGGGGCATCTGGGGCGCCTTCTCACAGTTCCTTCTGCTCCCCCTGCAGTGGTACAAGCTGGACGAGCTCTTTGAGCAGGAGCGCAATGTCCGTACAGCCATGACAAACCGAGCAGGTTTATTGGCCCTGATGCTGCACCAAACCATCCAGCACGACCCGCTTACTACGGACCTGCGCTCCAGTGCTGACCGCTGAGCCGCCGGGCCCAGCTGTGCTCACACCCTGCATTCCAGGCTGGGACTTTAACCTGAACCCATTTGTCAGTTCTGCTGTTCATGTGTTTCTCCAATCGTCCCTGAGTTTCTTCTCTTCCTGTGCCCACCCACAATTTGACTGCCTATCTGCTCTTCTCAGAGGGTCTTAGAACTTCTGCCTGTCCTGTCTAGCCCTCTCTTTCCATTCTCTGTGCCTGGGTGGGACCCTGGAGGCCACTCACATTTGCTTCCCCCTCCCCCTGGTTTTGTTAATAAAATTTTGAAGAGCTAAGGAAGGTCTTTCGTGAGGGTCTCATCTTTCTCTCCCTGGGCAGATGGGCTGAAACACCTGGGTCCAGGAGGCGCAGGTTGCTAGGATACAGCTGATCTCTGTGCTGTGCTGGACCCCTCGCCCCTTACAGGGTCTGAATTCTGAAGGTTGTTCCTGATTGACACTCCTCAGCCTTTAACACACTCCAGAGGTGTTCCAAGCACTAAGTAAGCCCACCCAGTAAGCGTTGGTCCAGAGGACCCCGCAGCCCAGCCGTTGGGAGAAGGGCATACGTTGCTGGTACCAGGTGGTCTTCGCGCGCGTCCTCCCTCCCCTTAACCCCCAGTTCCCTTGGAAGGCGCGGAGCCTCTCACGTTCCTGCAACGGCCCCGGCAACGGCTGAGCTGGGAGGAGAGGGCGGACACAATAGCCCCGGGAAGATGATCCGAGGGACGCGGGAGCTCAAGCGCGACCCAGGCGAAGAAAGGGAGAGGCGGGTGTCGAGTGGGAGGGGCGGCTGCGGGCACCGCCGCAGCCCTGGACGCCCCTGGCAGGAGCGGCTGGCGGAGAGCGCCAAACCGAGCCCGGGCGCCGAGCGCGGCCGCGGCCTCCACGCCCCCTTGGCGGAGCCTGCCCGCAAACAACCCGGGAGGGGCGGGGCGGAGGGACGCGCTGGTTGGCGAAGCGAGGAGCGCCGGCGCTGCGGGCTCGGGGCGGGGGAGGCTCGCGCCGCGGTTGGACGGCGTCGCGCAGGCGCAGTCGCGCCCAAACAAGGGGCGCGCGCCGCCCGGGGGCTCAGCACGCAGGCGCAGGGGCCCTCCTCTTAAGGGCAAGGCGCCCGCAGGGCCCCAGCGCGCAGGCGCCCCCTCCAGGGGCGGAGTCCTGCGGCGGACAGCGGATTTCCGGTTCCGGGAGCAACGAACGGCCGCGGCGGCGACAGCTACCGCTGGGGAGGAAGCGACTGCGGAGGAGGAAGAAGAGGCGCTGGGCAAGGCGGGAGTTGCCAGCGGGACCTTCACCATGGCTCCACGGCCCTAGAGCGGCGGGCGCGCCGGGCCCGGTGCCGAGCTGGTGAGACAGTAGCGGCGCCGGACGCGGAGAGCGGCTGCGGCGGACGAGAGGGAGGCACTGGAGCGCGGCCGGCTGACGGCGAGGAGCGAAGGGCCCTCAGGCCGCCGCCGAGTGGGAGGAATGGCGGCGTCAGGATATTGAGGGGGAGGCACGGAGGGATCCCGGCAGGAGACGGGGAGGGACGGCGCTGCGGGCGCTGACAGGTGGAAGCGGCGGGAGTCCGGGAGGGAACGGAAGGGAGCGGCGGTGGGGGGGGCGGGCGAGGCGAACCCACCGTTGCGGAACCGCGAGACCGCGCGGGCGGAGGGGGGCGCCGCACGGGCTCCAGAACGCGGGGGTGCGGGGAGGCCCCTCCAGCCGGTGGCGGCGGCGGCGGCGGGAGCGGTAGGAGCGGTAGGAAATGGGGCCGGGAAGGCTGTGACAGTCACGGATGGCGTGCTCCCGGGGGGAGCGCCCGGGGCCCCGCGGACGGACGGACGGACGGCGCGCCCGCAGGTGGGGAGGCGGCAGGAAACGCCGGGCCGTCGCGGGGCGGGTGGGGGGGCACCGGCGGCCGCGCTGGGCCGGGACCGCCGCCCCACGCTGAGTGACAGGGCAAGGAGCTGGTGGCGGAGGCTCTCGGCCGAGAGCAGATTAGGAACATCGGGGAGGGCGGGGGTGGGTGGGTCGCGGGGGGGGGGGGGGAGTTGGGAGGGAACCCAAACACCCACCGACCTCGAGTCCTGGAGATGGGCCAGAGCCGCTTCGTGCAGAGGGTGGGAGGGATGAGGCCGCATGCGGAGAAGGGGGGGGACACTCTGGGGCTTCCGGGGTACGAGGGGAGTAGGAAGAGCCGCGTCAAGGATAGACCCGGGCCGGACCCGGTCCTGTGTTTTGTTCACTCAGTACTTGACCGAGGACTTCCTGGGTCAAGACCCGGGAAGGAAGGAGGGAGAGGATGGAAGTTTCCCAGCGCGGGGGAGAAGGTGGGCTCCCGGGATGAAGCTGGGGGAAGAAGGCAGAAGGGGTCAGCAGGACCCTTTATGCCCCTTCACTTCCCAGTGAGGAACGGGGAGGCTCTGGTCAAGGATGGGGCAATCGGGCAAAAAGGCAAACATGAGATCTTGAGCCCAGACAAGAAGGGATGAGTGGAAACGTTTTCTTTCTCCTTTCTTCAATGGGCCAGTGGCCACTGGCTGTTGTCAAGTGTTGGACGAGTATGGGTCCTAACAGTCTTTCGTGTGATCTGGGATACAGCATACTCCTCGTAGAAGAACCTCAGTCTCTCCTGTCGTCCCCTCCGCATTACAGGCCACTGCTCCTCCCTTTGGCCCCATGGCTGAGGATTGGCTGGACTGCCCAGCCTTGGGCCCTGGCTGGAAGCGCCGTGAGGTCTTCCGAAAGTCTGGTGCTACCTGTGGACGCTCAGACACCTATTACCAGAGGTACTGGGTGGATTGTAGTCGAGTCATGGGTGGGCTAGTTGGTTTGTGGTTAAGTTTAAAGGTGGGGTTACATTTTGCATATCTAGCCAGTGCTCGTCGTTGACAGAATTTATGCTTGCAAATTCATGTACTATAATTTGTTTGTACCCCCAGAGTCAATACTCAAGTTGCATTTTCTGTTTAGTTCTTGTATTTTTACGTCTTTCATACTTGGTACCATATATTTTGCATTTTTTTTTTAAATTTTCGGGGGTGGTGGTGGTGGTGGGTGTTTTTTTAGTAGTCTCCAAGCATGGTGCTGAAGTGCTGTTTATTCTGAGTGGAAGAAGTCTGATATTCTATAAGGAAAAAAATGGGTGTTTTTAAAAATGTCAGTTTCGTTCAGGTGTAACTTCCAGCGTGTGCTGTCAACTATGAATTCAGTGTTAATGAATCTAAAACATGGCACATCCAGAAAAAAAATAGGAAATTTGCCCTTTTGTATGTGTCGTATACATACATATACCCCAGGAAGTACAAAGGTAACTTCTACAATGTGTGATGAAGCTATGGAAGAGGTAAAAAAGTGCTGAAATTGTGGATCTTTGAAGTGAAGACCAGTAAAATCCCAACGTGATAACATTGGTATAAGGTTGAAAGCTATGGATACTGCCACCATATTTCTCTGGATTAAGAAAATATGAAACCTCTCATTTGATACAATACGAAAATGTTAAATATGGAGATGAGGCAGATTTTACAGATCATGAGCTGGGGAAGAATTTTTTAAAATACACAGTCAAGTGTTGTCTGCCCAGAGGACAGAGGTGTGGAGAAGAGTTAGGTTTTCAGTAGTGAGGAGCCCGGCTAGTTAGAGTTTCCTAGGTGCTTGTAGGAGATCTGAGACCGTAAAAGACAGTTTATTACTCACAGCTCCATTTTTGTCCTTGTTCCCTGAACGCTAATTCCCAAAGGATAACAGGAAGAGAGCTAAGCAGCATCTATGTATGCACCAAGCTGTATCAGAGGAAAAGAACCCCAGAAACCAAATCTTAAGAAACCAAATCTTACGGTGTTGGGTCAGTAAGGATGCTTTCCCTTTGCTTTGGATAGAGACCTTATCTTTTATCTTCCGTGGCTGTTAGCACTACAAAATCATTGGGGGAAAAAACATTTCTAATAAAGGACAGTCAGTACCTCTATCACTAGAGATGTAGAAATGCAAGACTCCCTCAGACTTGTTTCCCAGTTTCACGTTTCTTTTGTGTACAGTTACACTTGCCTACAAATTTGAGTGTGTGTATGCTTATTTATGGATTTTTTTGGGTATATGTACTTAGTGTATAATGGTAACACATTTGTTATTTGCTCTATCTGTGTTCTCGTTGTATTTACATGTATTCATCAGTAGCATTTGTTGTATGTGCCTACAAATGTATCCATTTGTTAATTACTCGTTGATATTATAGGTATATATACGGACTGGAGCGATAGTATAGCAGTAGGATGTTTGCCTTGCGTGCAGCCAGCCTGACCGAGCTGGGTTAGATTCCTCCGCCCCTCTCGGAGAGCCTGGCAAGAGAGTATGCATGGCAAAGCTATTCAATATGCCAAATGCAGTAACAAGTTACTGGGCCCGCTCGAGCAAATTGATGAACAACGGGAGGACAGTGCTACGTATATTAATGAACCTTTTATATTTTTGCTATTCAGGGTTAGTTGTGGTAGGGCCTGGTAAAAATTGCTCATGGGCACATCCCTGTATCCTGCTCACCCTGCAGACCTGTTCACCAGCCCATGGAAGGGTTGTTTGTGGGTAGAATTGCAGTGGCTCTGACCAGTTCCAAACCTTCTTGGCCCAACCCCAGCCCCACAGGAGACAGGATCCGAAGCAAAGTCGAGCTCACCCGTTACCTGGGCCCTGCGTGCGACCTGACCCTCTTTGACTTCAAACAAGGCATCCTGTGCCATCCTGTCCCCAAGGTATATACATTGTGGGGTATTCAGACAAGGGTGTCGGACTCACCCAGCACCTACCCACTGACGTACATTCTTCCTGCCCTCACTCTGATCTCCAGGCTCAATCCGTGGCTGTCCCTAGCAAGAAGCAAAAGAAAGCTTCAAAGCCAGCCAAGGCTCAGAAACGGCAGGTTGTATCCCAGAAGAAAGAAGTTAGAAAGGAAACCCCAAGAGATGAGGCCAAGACTGATACTGTCACAGCCCCAGCTCTGCTCCCTGGACCTGGGTGAGTGTGGCTGGAGTGAGCCAAGTGAGTGCGTGAGGCTCATGGTGAGGCTTGCCCACAGGGCCTCATCCCCTTGCTTTCTGTGTTAGGTGCTGTGAGAACTGTGGGATCAGCTTCTCATGGGATGGTACCCGAAGGCAGAGGCTTAAAACGCTGTGCAAGGACTGCCGAGGTGGGTGTTCTTCAAGGCAGTGGGGGAGAACGGCTGAGGCCAGCGCTGGATCAAGCTAGGCTGAAGATTGAGTGGTGGATGGTGGGGCAGAGGCAGTGTGTGAGGGCAGGTGTCTGATGCTTCCCTTCCGCTTTGTCCTCCCCAACCCTTTACCCCAGCACAGAGAATTGCTTTTAACCGGGAGCAGAGGATGTTCAAGGTAAGCAGACCTACCTTCTCTTTACAGGATTGCGATGGGAGCAAGCTGGGATAGGTAGAGGCTGGGGGAGGGGGGGTGTGGTCAAGGAAATGGAGGTGGGTCCGTCGTTTTGTAGGAGCTAACTGCAGCCGTGTTCAGGAGTTAGTGGCCTCACAGTGGACACGGTGATAACTTAATAGGGGCCAGCAGCGTTTGCACATCCTCAGATAATGGTAGCCAGTCTGATGAAGTGATAAGCAAGTGGGAATCGAGCAGACATGGTGATGGGAGCTGATGTGGGCTCAGCAGGCCAGTGAGGAGTTGGAGCCACTCTGCCTGTGCGTGTGACCTTGCCCCACCCCTTCCCGGCAGCGTGTGGGCTGCGGGCAGTGTTCAGCCTGCCAGGTAACTGAGGACTGCGGGGCCTGCTCCACCTGCCTTCTGCAGCTGCCCCATGATGTGGCCTCGGGGCTGTTCTGCAAGTGTGAGCGGAGACGCTGCCTCCGGATTGTGGAGAAGGTGAGTTGGGTCGGGGGGTGGTTCACCCTAGCCTTTGCCCTCGTGGCCCGGATTCCGTGCGTCTCGCCTCTGCCTCTCCACCACCTGTGCCTCCCGCCCCCCCAGAGCCGAGGATGTGGAGTGTGTCGTGGCTGTCAGACCCGAGAGGACTGTGGCCGTTGCCGAATCTGCCTTCGCCCTCCACGGCCTGGTCTCAGGCGCCAGTGGCGGTGCGTCCAGCGGCGTTGTCTCCGGGTGAGTGAGGCTGGGGCCAGGACAGGGGCAGAGTGCATTTCGCTCTTGAAGTTGCCGTGTTTTCTCCCAGCCTGGCTTTGCCCAGCTCATGTCTTTTTCTCCCCCGCTTGCTGCTCATGTCCCTGCCTATCACGCTCGGCCAGCACCTTGCACACCGTCTTCGTCGACGTCATCAGAGATGTCAGCGACGTCCTCCCCTCCCCGTGGCTCCCCCAGCTGTGAGTGCACCCCTCTCCTGTGAGATGGAGGGCCTTCAGAAGGAGGCCCCCTGCTAATTGCCTCTTGTTACCAACTTGCTTTTTCCCAGGGGAAGCATGGCCGCCGCAAAGGAGGCTGCGACTCTAAGATGACTACCCGGCGGCGCCCTCGAGCCCAGCCACCTCCACCGCCACGTCCACTTCCTGCACTGCAGCCCCCAGGGTCCCCAGAGCTGGTGAGGCCCTGGTGGGCAGGGGGATGGCACAACCTTAATCTGACCCAGTACCTGCCCTGACCCCACCCCATTTGCCTCTGCAGCACCCCAGAGCCCTGGCCCCCTCGTCACCTGCCGAGTTCATCTATTACTGTGTAGACGAGGACGAGCTAGTGAGTGGTACCATCCCACCTTGCCAAGCCTAGACTCTCCCGTGGCACTTGGTTAACCCCAAAGGAGGAGATGCTATTATGGACCCAGTAGGGGTGCAACAAGGCCTAGTAACGGGCGCCTGTAAGGGATGAGCCGGCAGTGGTGGGGGTTGATTTTCAGTTGAACCAGCATGCTGGTGGAACTGATAGAGGAAAGCTGGCCAGTGATTGGGGTTCATAGAGGATGAGAAAATGAAGTAAGTGGTATTGGGAATCACTGGGAAAGTTAGCAGATTCCTGCTTGAGGACGAGAACCCAAAACTGTCTTGGCTGCTAGCAGGCAACTCGCTGATAGGGTGATAACGGTGGCAATGAAGCAGACGACTCATGGTGCCAAGGGTCAACCGGACAGCGATGCTGTCTGGTGGTGGACTGAGAGTCACTGAGGTGTGACTAGTGGGGAGCCAGGCAGACTGTGCAACCGTTTCTTTTCATGGCACTAGTAAAGGAGCAGTAGAAACAGCACTGTACTAGTCTTAGTGACCGAACCCCCATTCCCCTTGCCCCCCAGCAACCTTACACGAATCGCCGACAGAACCGCAAGTGTGGGGCCTGTGCAGCCTGCTTACGGCGGATGGACTGTGGCCACTGCGACTTCTGCTGCGACAAGCCCAAATTCGGGGGCAGCAACCAGAAGCGCCAGAAGTGTCGTTGGCGCCAGTGCCTGCAGTTCGCCATGGTGGGTGGGGCAGGAAGGGTCAGATCCTGGGAATGGTGGGCTGGCCAAGCGGGTCCCATGGTTTCAGAAGCCTTGGCAGGAAGTGGGTTTGGCTAAAGATTCTGCGGCATTCTGCTGAAGCAAATGAAGAATTTGGGTGGCATTGGCATTGCCAGCAGACAAGGAGGCCCAGTGAGGGGGAGCTCACGTGTCAGTAAGCGCTGCCAGGCTAAGGGGAGAGGATGCAGACACGTTGGTCGGCGTGGGTGGCAGACGTGGTCATTGCACCGGATAGCCGTAGCACCCCATTTCTTCTCACAGAAGCGGCTGCTGCCGAGTGTGTGGGCAGAGCCAGAGGATGGGGTCGAGCCACCCCTGGCTACCCCCCGTCGAAAGAGGCCTGGCTCCAGTCGGTGCACGCGTCCAGTCCCGGCAGTGAAAACCCCCTTGGCCAGGTCCACGGCCCACAACAACTGCTCACAGACGCCGATGAAGCAGGAGGCGGGCGCTGACTTCGTGCTGCCCCCGCCAGGCACCGACCTTGTGTTCCTACGGGAGGGGGCGAGCAGCCCCGTGCAGGTGCCTGGCCCCGCCCCAGCTGCTGCAGGAGCTCTGTTACAGGTGAGCGCCCCCTCGGTCCTGCTCATTCCAGCCCCACCCAGCCTCGAGCCAGGGAGCTGGGACCAAGTCTGCTGCCGTCCTCCTCCATACAGGAGGCACACTGTCCTGGCCTGAGCTGGGTTGTGGCCTTACCTCAGGTGAAGCAAGAGAAGGCGGATGCCCAGGAAGACTGGACACCGGGCACAACCGTCCTGACTTCTCCTGTGTTGCTGCCCGGCTGCCCCAGCAAGGTGGGGTCTGATGGGTGGTCTGAGCAGTGATGGTGAGCCGTGACGGTGGTTCTTGCGCAGAGCAATAAGCGTGCTGCCTGCCGCCTCTCCCAGAACGACCTGTCCTGCCTGACCGATGCCTCGCCCTCCCCAGGCAACTAACTAGCTTTGCCCACTCCGCCGCCTCGCTAACAGAAACAGCTGCGTAGTGAATGGGAGTGGGGACGCTTGCTAAGCAGAGGAATGGCTGCTCTGTGCTGACTTGTGATGGAAGTGGCAGTTGCCAGCCCCGTGGTGGGTTGGCTGGTAGACGCCTCGCCCGGGCCACCGCCACCCTTCTGACCGCTCCTTTCCCGCCTTCCCCAGGCAGTGGACCCAGGCCTGCCAGCTGTGAAGCAGGAGCCGCCTGACCCCGAGGAAGACAAGGGGAGCAAGGATGACTCGGCCTCTGACTCGGCTCCAGAGGAGGAGGCAGGAGGGGCTGGCACGCCTGTGGTCAGTGCTGGGGGACACCCCACCCGTCCCTGATCCTACCGAGTCCTACCAGCCAACTTGAATCATGATGTTAATTTTTTCCTCAGATCACGGAGATTTTCAGCCTGGGTGGAACGCGCCTTCGGGACACAGCAGTCTGGTTGCCAAGGTGTGCGCCCCCTGCAAGGAGGGGTGGAGATGGGCTGGGTGCTGGCCGTATATGGGCCCTGAATTACGGAAGGGCAGGCAGCAGTTTGGTGCGGTGCTGTGGGAGGAAAAGGTCCAGCACGACTACCCAGTCCTGACAAGCAGATATGGTCAGGACCCTAGAGATTTCCCGAGGCTCTCAGTCTGGCTCTCTGTAGGGGATGGTGAGGGCTGCGGTGCGTGAGGGGAGAGGACTTGGTGCCCTGCAATGGGACTGGGAAGTGCAAGGTAAGGAAAGCTTGGTTCCCATCTCCCTAAGAAAATCCAGTAGGTGTCAATCAGATTTAGTATAGAAATTCTATTAAGAGAAATCACGTTTAGGGTCTTGAAGGCCTTTGGGATATCCCAGAATATAACCAGATGGGCCTGGACTCTGGTCTGGGTTCTGAGACAGTTCTGATCTGGGTCCACATGGCACCTGTGTGATCTTGGGCTAGTCCAGCAACTTAGCAACCTCTCTTGGGAGTCCTGGTGGAAGAATAGGGGTTCTTTGCCCTCCAGATGCTGAGGAGGTTATTAGTGGTTTCAGTTGCTGCACAGACCTATCCCTCAGGCATGGTAGTGGGTCCAAGGCCAGGGTGGAAGAGGACATGGAAATGCTGGTCCTGCACGAGGGTGACAGCCCTGCCCAGAGCTCTCCCCATCCCATTCCCCTCCCCCCCCCCGCCCCCCCGCAACAGAACCTGGTGGCCTATGCACCTGGACTCCTTTGTTCCTACAGTTCATTTCTGCAGGCCAGAAGCCCCTCCAGCTCATAGCAGGCACTTGTAAAGGTGCTGGTTGAGGCCCTGCTGGCTTACACTGCGGTGTAAGATGCAGCAGGGGGTCCAGTGGCCCAGGAAGACTGACCCTTCAGGAGGCACAGGAGCCCTCTTGTGATCTACCTGGGGAGACGCTTACCCTGTGTCCCCAAGTCACTGCATACTAACAGAGAAGGAGAGGAAGGGCTTTGCCTTTTGTAATGATTGGAGAAGAGATTAAGGAATCCTCCAAGGGAAAGGGACAACAGAAAATGATTGGTGATGCTCCTTTGTGCACGCAGCAGACTTCACTCATTCAACATAGAGAACTGCTCCCTCTTCTCCAGATGCCAGGACCTTGAAAACCTGCAGGGCAGAAAGTAGTAGGCTGGAGGCTGGGGTAGGAGTCCAGGTGAAAGTGACACATTGGCTTTCTGGGGGCCAGGCCTGATCCTCCAGAGCTAGACTAGAGATGGATTGCCAGGACATGTGTCTGAGCCAGTAGGAACTGGAGAGACTTTCCACCGAGCCAGAGGAGCAGGCCTGCTGAGTGCTTTGAGCCTGTAGAGGAAGGAAACAAGAAAGGAAGAGAAAAGAAAGTACATTTGTTCAACAGATCAATCCTAAGAGCCTGAATATGATAGTATATGTAGCACTGTCCTCCCGTTCATCGATTTGCTCGAGCGGGTACCAGTAACATCTCACAACAAATTGCGAGACTTGTTGTTACTTTTTTTGGCATATCAAATACATCACGAGTAGTTTGCCAGGATCTGCCATGATAGTATATGGATTTTAAGAATTAGGAAACTAGGGTAGAAATGGCAATACAATTAATACCAATACTAAACTACCTAAACAATCTATCTTCATAATTTTAAATGACCTCTGGGTGAGACCGAGTGGTATTTCAGAACATTTTCTCAGGGAAATAGCAGTTGAAAATGTGGATGAGGAAAGGAAAAGAACCTCTATATGGCAGCCTAATGCATTTAATCCTTAAAACACCTTTTGGGGGGATATTGATTTTTTTCTCCCATTTATGCTGTTGGAAAAACATTCAATTTGTACAGGTGTCAGAGAGCTAGTATTGGCCTAATGAGATCGCCCAATGGACTAATTTTGCATGCTTTGTGTGCAGGAGGCCTGGGTTCAGTTTCTGGGACCAAGTCCCCCAAGTACTGCTGAGACCATCCCCCAAGCATAGAGTTGGGAGTAGTTTGAACATAACCCTGAGTGTGGCCCAAGCACGAAAACAGCTAATATTGATAGATCCTTGCTAGGTTGAAAGACTTGTTCTTTAAGCAACAATCTGTAAACTGTATATATTGGGAAACCTTCTAAACATTTTCACTGTTCCTTGCTTGGGGTATGCCAAGGCTGTGAGGATGGGCTTTCCTTGTCAGAGCAGTAAGCACTTGGAGACCGACTTCTTCCCAAGCCTTGAATGTTAGGTAGGAGTTTGCAGACCCTACAGGGCTTTTTCTCCACACTGGCTGCATGTCCATTTGTTTCCCCTCCTCCCGGCCCCAACCAATCATCCTTTGGAGGCTGCCATCCTTGCTGACAACTTGTCTTTTGTGCCCCCTCATGGTCTTTGTGCTTAGTTTCGGCTCAGTCCCCATTACTAGGAGATAGCGTTCTTGCTTCAAGAGCCAGTTTTGGCTTAGCCTGCCTCTTTGTAAAATGCCAAAGGTTAGACCTGTGATTCCTTGTACCTCTTTAAATTTTGTTTCCTTTGTTTCCCTTGTTTTATTCTGATCTCAGCTTTGTGGGGCCTTAGATAAATCAAATGCATATTAGCCACTTTTCCTGCTTTAACTCATGATTAGCCACACACCTCTTCCTCTTCTCCATGCACCCTCCCCCCCCACTCCCCCCCCCCCCCATCCGCTTTATCCTATCTAATTCAGGCAGTCAAGACTGGATACTTTTCTGTATTCTGCTCCTCACAGAAACCAGCCGCTCAGCTTTAGTATTCTAGGAATTTTGTGACTACCAGAATGCCCTAGGTAAAATGTATTAGATTGGCATTCTCACTTACCAAATAAGAGATTGGTTATCATGTACATAAGGGCACAATAAAAAAAAACACTAATATAAAGATTCCATGTACATACACACAAACACATTTATTTCAAGGGATTTACGAGTTCAACCCTGTGTAATTGTGGGAGCTGGTTAAACAGTCTCTGTAAGGCTGTTGTCTTTGCATCTAATGCTGGAGCTTGAAGTCTGCAGGGCAGGCACTCGAGGAAGAAAGGTGCACGTAAAGTATGGGAGACCACGGACAAATTGGTGCCCACAAGCAGGAGTTGGAGCCCACAAGGATGGCCTGGAACCCATGTCCGCCTCTCATCACCTCCAGCTTCGATGATGTGGGTGTCCTGCAGAAGAAGCTGGTGCCCTTCATCACAGATTTAAATGCGCTTCTGGCCCAGGACTTAGAGAAGCTGCAAGAAGATCCCAGGGGAAGGTGGAGCAGCTGCAGGCCTGGCTGCAGGCCTGACTGCTGCCCCACACCAACGAGGTGAGCCAGCAGATAAATGACAACATGTGTGAACTGCAACAGTGCCTGGTGCCGCTGCACCTGCCTTCTTGAGTGTAAAAACAGTACACAGCTGCTTCTCTTCTGTCCTCCAATTATCACGCAAACGTGACCCGTCCTAACCGGAAGCTTTGGGGAAGGGAGTCCTGGGAAATGTAGCCTAGTCAAGGTGACATTACAAAGCCACCCTGCCATGAATCAACTCCCAAGGGTCCCACTACTCACCTGAGGATAACTTGGTAAAGCTACGTTGCTGAAAATGCAAAGCTGAAGACCATGGATTTCATGGTGACCCCAGCAAGTACAGGAGTTCTATCAAGCCCACCCAGAAAAAAACTTGCTGGTCTCGGCTATTTTTGTGTCATGCATCAAGTATTGGGAATTTGGCCCATGGTAGGCACTGTAAATACTGGGATACAGGAACAAAAAGATATAGTCCATGCAAATTTATTAAATGCATCATTATGTATTACAAATGGTGAATGGATTTCCAACTTTGTCATGGAATTTAATGGTGAAAAATATAGAATTCGGGAAACTGGAGGACAGCCCTTGTGTGAACCTTGTTGGGGCACGATAGGTATTGGAAATGACATAGTTTCTTGCTCTAAGCTGTTATATTTTAAAACTATTTTTAAATGATTTTTATTGTCCCATTTACTGATTCATATACTTGGGGAGAGTCTCATGATGGTGGAAACAGTGTTCACTGTCTCTGATAATGTGGGATGCTTGGGTGGTCAGGTGGGTGGGCAGGTTCTGTGTAAGAACCTCGGTCTAACCACCACCCTAGGCTCCCGGGCAGGGTTGGCTGAAGGCCCAGGTTCACGGGCTTGGCGCGGGTCACGGACCCGGCACCTTCCGATAGGCCCGCCAGGCGGCGCCCTCCTACCGGGGCTCGCCAGCCGCTGCCCCAATTCCTGGGGCTGGGCGTCCGTGAGGCGTGGCTTCCGCGCTGCCGAGTGGGGAAGCCGACTCCCTCCCCTCGGGAGTGAAAAAAACTGGACTCAGCGGTTCCGAGGAGTGGGGAGGAGGGAAAGGGAAGGGTGCTGAAGGCACGGTCCCGACGAGAGCCCAGGACGGACGTGGGGGCTGCCGGGCGGTTTCTCCAAGGGTTTCCTTCCCCGTCGCTGAACGCTTCTCGTTTCGGGGGGCGTTCCCTCGGCTTCCCGACCTGGCTGGGGGGAGCGGGGCGACGGACGGGCGACTGACCCTAGGTGGCCTTCCCCAGACCCTCGCTCCGCGCTCTTCACTGACGGCGTTTTCCTTGCCCCCCTGCTCCCCTCCAGGGCGTGGCGCGAGGCGACGCTCCACGCAGACCCAGTAACTTGCGGAGAATCGGCCCCACAGCAGCCCGTCTGGGGACCGAGGCGACCGTCTAATTTCTTTCTTCTGTTTGTTTGTTTCAGGCTCTGTAAACTCTTAGCAGTAAATGAAAATGAGTATTTTACCGAACTTCAGTTGAAAGAAGAAGCATTATAGGAGAAAGAGAGAGAGAGAGAGACTAAACGAGAGAATTATTAAAAAGAGATTATTAAAGACACTATTTTGTGGCTGAAAAGCTGAAACCAGCAATTCAGGAAATGGAATCCAAATCTAGAAACGTACCATACACAAAATCCGAAGTGGGTGGATTACAAATGATTCAGGAAACCCAATTCACAGTAAATTGTGGCCCTACGATGGGATACACAGTAGTTGTACTTTGGTTATTAACACATGTGAGTGACTGAGTAGGGGCCGTTTCTTTCATTTGCTCTAGTGTTCTGTGTTTGGGCCCCCACTGTAGAATGGAGTTCTCAGGCCATGGTAAATTCATTACGTAAATTCATTACGTTTCATTCAAAACGTAATGAATTTTACGTTTTAGCCTTGCTGGTGGCTTAGAAGACAGCTGTGGTTTCCAGCTGTGCCGAGGACCCTTCCTAAATAAGGTTTCCTGCTCTGCAATGGGCCTGATTACCTGCACTTAACGTCCCATACCCTCACTCTGGTGCACGGGGACCCTTAATTCTGTGTACGTTGAATCTGGCAAGATTGTGACACTGTCCCTCCCAGCATCCCAAGGGACATCCCAGGAGTCTGAGCCACGATTCCTGCCCAGAGCAGTAGGAGTATTTTATGGATAGGTTATTTGTGCTGACAAGGTAGCTAGACTTTCAGCCTTGTCTTAGCCGTAAAATAAGTTAAAATACTCGCTGTTCAGCCAACTCTGTAATTGTGAGGCTTAAAGGTAATATGTGTGAGTATACTTCTCAAATTATTTGTAAAGATCAAGCAAATGCAAGGCAGCCTTGTTATGATTTTACCGTGTCACTGTCATCAAGATTAAGAAGATGCCCGCAAAAATCAACCTTCCCCACTAATCCCTCACAAGCTTTTAGTCGATTTGATAACAAGAGAATAGCAGACAATGGAATGCAATTAGATCTTCACTTTCACTTCGGGTTAAGGAGGCTCCCCTCCTCCCCAGCCCTATTATGATGAACCCTAGAGGGAGGGAGAAAGGTCGGTGGGAGGCTGGGTCGCTGGCCGGGTGGGTGAGGACCACGCACACGCTCCAACTCTGGCTGGAGGAAGTTACGAGTGCCAACCCTGGTCACCACGGTAACGGGGCCAACTTCCGCCTCCCCCCTTCTGCCCCTCACCCCGCGCGTTGCACCATGGCAACCAGAACTTTGCGTCGCGGAAGCTGGTCATTGCAGTTGGGAAGCCTCGGTGAATACCGCCCCCATCCCGAGGAGACTCCGAAAATGTACAGCCAGCGGTTTGGCATCGTACCGCGGGAGATTAAGGGCCCTACTCCCAAAGTGGTGATCGTGGTAAGCGCGAGTGTGTGTGTGTGTGTGTGTGTGTGCTGGAAGCTATTGCTTTCTGCATCTCCCCGCACCTCAGGCCCCCAGTGGAGTCCCCTCAGCTCCCCAGACCAGGGCCTCAAGAGCAAGTGCCTGATTCAGTGGGTTGAAACATGAATGAAAAGATAAATTCTCTTACCCAACTATTTTATCCCTTCTACTCTTCCCCAGCCCTGCAGCTTTTGCCCCAAACCAGTTATAATGTTTAGATTATGTATTTGGATAGTCACCACTTGATACCTTTCAAAAGATGACAGGAGTTAAACATTGCTTGAATGTGAAGTGTGCATCATTCAATGGGTGGTAGGATAGATGGCAGAAATCTGGCTGTGGTAATTCGATTGGATGGACTTGGGTGGGTCTTATACCCCCAGGAAAATGATCTGTGTAGAGGGATCGGGCTGTGAGAGATTGAATGGTTATAGAGCCCTACTCGTTCCGATTCAGCGGTAGCAGAAATGTCCCTGCAGGCCTGGTAATAGAAAGGTTTGGTTGCCTCCAAACTGGGGTGGAAGACCAGGGAAATTATAGCAGTTGCAAAACCTCACTTAATCCATGTTCTTGGATTCCTTTGCTCCTACTTTCTTTTTTTACTTTTTTTTTTATTTTTTATTTTTATTAGTGAGCCACCATGAGGTACAGTTGTAGACTTACAAATTTTATGCTTGGGTTTCAATTATACAATGATCAAATACCCATCCCTCCACCAGTGCCCATTTCCCACCACCACAGATCCCAGTGGCTAGAAAAGTGCAATAAAGCAACTTTCAGAGAAGTTTTTTAGGGCTTCCGGTATGTGCACAGCACTATGGGACATACTAGGTAGGTATAATGATCCCAGGAGGTTTATTCATCATTAGAAGTCTGATCCCTGACTTCTAGTTGCTAATCATCCAATTTTAGAAATTGGATAATGAAGGATACAGTTGTATCATGCTCTCAAGTGCACATAGCAATTCTTCAGCAACTTAGTGACTCTCTCCCTCTTCTGTTCTGGTACATCTGTAGATTGCTTAGAAAGCAAGAGACTAGAGACTTTTACAGACTGTAGGGTTCAAGGTTCAATTTCTGGCAGACGTCTTGAAGTAGAGACTGATTGATCTACTTTGGGTTCTGTATTTGAGTGGGTCCCAGCTTATGGACCTGGCCATTCATTGCTCAGATGCCATTACTTGTGCTGGGAACCTGTAAGGAGCAGGATTTTTTTTTTAAGCCTCTAAATAGAGAAGCAGACTTGTTGAATACTTAAAGCTTTTAGCAAGATAAAAGAAAAAAGGGTCAGAGAGGCTAGAGACTTAGCTCAGCTTTAGAGCACTTACCTTGAATGTATGAGTTCTGGGTTCTATCCTCGCCTGCACTACAAAAAAAAAAAGTTTGAGTTGGTGCATCTCAGATGTGAGATTTTGATAACGTGTGAATGTTAGAAGTTGCAGAGTTGGGGAAGAATTGAAGCCATTAGAGATGATACTTGGATGCTAAACAACTTCCAGGAGGAAGCAATAAAAGATGTAATGTCAGAAGTAATGGAAAAGTAAAAACAGTCTTGTGGGTGCCATCTAGGGACCCAATTACTTAATTTTCAAAATAGTTTTTTAGGAGAATGTTTTTCTGTTCATTTTGACAGATGTGCAAAAAAGACTCAAAGAAAGTCTTAATTTACTCAAGAACACATAATGTGTAATGTTTAGAAGTCAGAATCATGTCTAGGCTGTAAGTCATTTTTCTTTAAGACATTAAACTGTAGGACTACAAACTGTAATTTGAGATGTTAGAGTAACAAAAAGCTTTGATTACCTTGTAAGCAGAAGGCAGTTAGTAAGTCCTGTGTTCTCCAGCTTTTAGCTGGTTGGAATTGGGCTGGAGCGATAGCACAGTGGGTAGGGCGTTCGCCTTACAAGCGGCCAACATGGCCGACCCGAGTTCGATTCCTCTGCCCCTCTCGGAGAGCCCGGCAAGCTACCGAGAGTATTCGATATGCCAGACACAGTAACAACAAAGTCTCCAATGGAGACGTTACTGGGCCCGCTCGAGCAAATCGACGATCAACGGGAGGGCCTTTACTTTTACTTTACTTTAGAATTGGAATTGCAATTGCAATTGAGAATTGTCCAGTATGGTCACCACTACCAGACATGGCTTTTGATCACTTGAGATGTGCTTAGAGTCAAGTGTTAAAATGACAATATTTTGAAAATAATAAACTTAATAAAATTAATTTTTCTTTTTAATTTTTAAATGCAGCTCCTGTAAATGCTTGATTACAGAGGACTCACATTATATTTCTCTTAATAGAGGTTTTGAGTAATGCCCAAATGACCTGGTTTGGCATTACCTTATTAAAGAGTATTCTTTGGAATCTGGCTTTGTGACTAGAGTTCTGCATAGGATCCCAAACTTTTTCAACTCGTTTGCCTTAGCAGTTTCTCACCACCATCTACCCCACCCCTTTCCTCTCCAATCAAAGTTTACCTTAGAGCTTGGTTTCTGAAAACTAGAAACTCAGTTTTCTTTTTCTTTTCTTTTTTTTTTTTTTTTGGTCTTAGTTTAGGGTCATGCCCAGCAGTGCTCAGGACTTGGTGGTTCTGTGCTCAGGGATCACTCCTTACCAGGCTCAGGGGACCATATGGGATGCCGGGTATTGAACTCAGGTTGGCTGCATGCAAGGCTAATTACCCTACCTGCTGTACTATTGCTGTAGCCCAAAGAAAACACACCCAGCAGTGTGAAAGGGCTTACCTCAGGGTGTTCAGGGAAATCAAGGGCCACCAGAGTTATAACAAACATTGCTGGCATAGGCATATGACAGTCCTGTGCTCTACCACTTTGAGTCATAGCCCCTGCTCCTATAAAATGGATTAAAATGTGTGTGTGTTTGTGTGTGTGTGTGTGTGTGAAAGAAAGCAAGAGAGAAAGAGAGAGAGAGAGAGAGGAGAGGCAAAATATTTTTTAAATTAAAAGTATTGTAAAGTATTGCGTGGTTTTTAAGAACAACACTAGGTAGTGCTCTGCCTGCACATGTTTGGGGGTCACAGACCAGGTCTACAACGGGTGGGAGACACAGAGGTGGGGGGGGTCATGTGGTGTGAGAGATCAAATTCAGGACCTCATACGTGCTGGGCATGGATTCGACCAACTGCTAGAGAGATTTCCCCAGTCCCAAGAAAGTGGATTCTCCATGACCTTGGTACTTGGCAGGACCACTGGAGTCTGAGTTTGTATGTGTGTGATGTGTATCTTAACTGAGATGCATCATGACTCTGGTTTTGTCACTGAATCTGTGTTCTCGAAGTGCCATACAGGGTTGAGAAGATGGTTCTAAGGGCTATAGTGTATACTTTGCAGAAGCCCCAGGTTCAATTCCTGGCACTCAATGGCCCCTGAGTACCACAGCAGGAATAACTCCAACTACCAAAAAACACATAAAATGTCCTCTACATTAGAAAAAGTTTGTTACCTGGTTCCAGACTCTAAATGATTCTGATACAGATTAATTACAGCATTATCTGTCTCCAATTCACCTCATCTTTACCTTATCTGTACAACTAATTCTAGGTACCTATTATGTGTATCCTGAACCCTGAATCTTTTCAGAACACATCCTTCTAATGTTCTCCTTTACCTAGACCATAGTATCCTGGCAGTCCTGGCAGTGATGTTCTAGGTGTAAATGATCAGATCTACTCTGAGAGTTAAGAGTTTCGTGATTGTGAATTAGCGAGAGTGACCTAAAAGTGACTTTATGAGCCTATCTGAAAATCAAAATTTCAGGAAAAGGAGATATCAGGTCAAACCCATTCAGAAACATTGTTTCTGAAATTGTTTCAGAAATAGTTTCAGAAACATTGTTTCATTGTTTCATTCATTTACTCACTGGGACCTTACAGAGGTGGCATATTACATATCCTAGAAATACAGAGAAGAAAAAGTACAGTTCATATGATTTTATTAAATGCCTAACAGTAAATCTGTTTATGCAGTACCAAATTTTCAGTAGATGTTTATAGAAAGTGTGTGTGTGTGTGTGTGTGTGTGTGTGTGTGTGTGTGTGTGTGTTGAAGCCACAGCTAGCTGTGCTCAGGGGTTACCCCTTGCTCTGCGTTCAGGGATCACTCCTGGTGGTGCTCAGGGAACCATAAGAGCTGCCAAGGATTTAAAACCCAGGTCAGCTGCGTACAGGACAAGCACCCTACCTGCTGTATTATTGCTCCAGCCCCAAAGTATATTTTCACAGAAATTAAAATTACCGAAACGTAGGAACAGAACCCTTGTATTGAACTTCTCAGAAAACATAAAGATTTATTTACTTATTTATTTGTGGTTTGGGGGACACACCTGGCAATGCTTAGGGATTATCTTGGCTTTGCACTAAGGAATTACCCTTGGCAGTGCTCAGGGAACCATAAAGGATGCTGGGGATTGAACCCAGGTTGGCTACGTGCAAGACAAGCGCCCTAACCTCTGTACTATGGCTCCAGCCTTGTGTTTTTGTTGTTGTTGTTGTTACTCCTTGTTATATATGTCCTGTATGCCTATACTAGTCTTTGGTTTTGTTTTATTATTTATTATTATTATTTATTTATTTTTTGCTTTTTGGGTCACACCTGGCGATGCACAGGGGTTGCTTCTGGCTCTGCGCTCAGGAATCACCCCTGGCGGTGCTCAGGGGACCATATGGGGTGCTGGGAATCGAACCCGGGTTGGTCGCGTGCAAGGCAAATGCCCTACCCGCTGTGCTATTGCTCCAGCCCTGTCTTATTATTATTTTTTTATTTGGGAGCTACACCAGGCTGTGCTTAGGAACTGCTCGCAGCTTAGTCTCAGGAGTCATTCCTGTCAGTCCTCTGAAGACCACACAAAGCTGGGGATAAAACTCAGGCCTTATGTACAAACACATGCACTCAGCCAGCCCGCTGAGTATCTTTCTGGCCAGGAAATGATCTATTAAAAATTGAGAGTATTTGGGGCTAGAGCAATAGCACAGCAGATAGGGTGTTTGCCTTGCACATGGCTGACCCGGGTTCAGTTCCCAGCATCTCATAAGGTCCCCTGAGCACCACCAGGAGTAATTCCTGAGGGCAAAGCCAGGAGTAACCTCTGTGCATCACCGGGTGTGACCTAAAAAGCAAAAAAAAAAAAAAATGGGCTATTGGTGTTGGCCAGTGGGGGACAGGCCATTCAATATCAGGAATTGAATCTGGGCTCCTTAATGCAAACTGTGTGCCTCAGCCCTTTGATCCATCCTCCCAGCTTGTAGACACCTGTTCAATTTTTTTTTTTTTTGCTTTTTGTGTCACATCCGGCAGTGCACAGGGGTTACTCCTGGCTCTGTGCTCAGGAATTACCCCTGGCGGTGCTCAGGGGACTATATGGGATGCTGGGAAACTAACCCGGGTTGGCCGCGTGCAAGGCAAACGCCTTACCCGCTGTGCTATTACTCCAGCCCCACCTGTTCAAATTTTTACCTTTTTTTTTTCTAAAGTGAAACTTTTTATTTGAAGGGTTTTTGCAGATATGGAGGAGAGACAGAGAGAGAGAGAGAGAGAGAGAGAGAGAGAGAGAGAGAGAGAGAGAGAGAGAGAGAAAGAGAGATGGTTCAAGAGATATGCAAGCTTATCCCACCATTAGATAGGAAAGTACAAAAGTACACATCTCAAGAGGGGAGATGTGGGCAACACATGTGCTCAGGCACCACTTACGCTCGGCCATGTGTGCACGAGCAGCACATGGGCTCAGGCAACATATGCACCAAACTTTTAATTTTAGAATCCTATGAACTTGACTCAAGTAGCACTTAAAATGTATTTGTGGCTAATTTGGAGCCATCTTACCTATTTACTTATAGAAACAATGAATCAAAAGAAGTTATACTTTAGGTACTTAAAGCTGATGTAGTTGTAGTGGAATTAGCACTGTAGCACTGTCCTCCCATTGTTCATGGATTCATTAGAGCGAGCCCAGTAACGTCTCCATTGTGAGACTTGTTGTTACTGTGTTTGGCATATTGAATATGTCATGGGGCGCTTGCCAGGCTTTGCTGTGTGGGCAAGATACTCTCGGTAGCTTGCTGGGCTCTCTGAAATGGGTGGAGGAACTGAACCTGGCTCGGCCGAGCCAGCCGTGTGCAAGGCAAACGCCCTACTGCTATCTTAGTTTTTTTTAAATATCAATTTTATTAGTATGAGTATTGGTGGAAGTTATGACTAATTGAAAATAAGCAATCACTTTGGGGGTCTATCGTAAGTGATAGTTATTTGTTTCTAGAGAGCCAAGCCTTCCAAAGATCAACGGAGAGAACAGCTGAAAGACATTATAAGGAGCCAGCAGAAACACCATGGTGTTTTGGCTGCTGTTAAAGAAAGGGAGCGGGAACGCTCCAAAGTCGAGTGGGAGCAGCACATGGATAAAATATGTGCGAACCGTCTTGTGAGATCAAGAGTCAAGGATGCCATGCAAGGCTTTATCCTCAACACGGAAGAAAGGCGAAATAAGTAAGGCCCGAAAACATTGGACCCTGACCATGAATATCCTGCCCCCTCAAAAAATAAATCTATTGTGTGATACTTATTATTTTAATTAAAATCTGCTTTCTGGGGGCTGGAGTGATAGTACAGCGGGTAGGGCGTTTGCCTTGCATGCGGCCGACCCGGGTTCGATCCCGTATGGTCCCCTGAGCACCGCCAGGGGTAATTCCTGAGCGCAGAGCCAGGAGTAACCCCAGTGCATCGCCGGGTATGACCCAAAAAGCAAATAAATAAATAAATAAATAAATAAATAAATAAAATCTGCTTTCTGTGTCTGATCAGATGAGACAGAACACAGATAAGTCTGTTGCTTTAAATGCCAACTAGACTAATTGAGCATCATCTTTTCTTCTAACAATATTTATGATTACATATGTACTGAGATAAAATATTGCAAAGGAAAGATTAGGAAAATATTGCACATCATATGAAAGTTAATTTTTGGCCATTTTGTTTCAGGCTACGCAAACTTTTAGCGGCAGAAGAAGATGAATATTTTGAGGAAATGCAATTGAAAGAAGATAAAATTGAGGAAAGAAAGAATAAAATGAAAGAGAAAATCAGCTTACTAAGAGCGGAGAAAGAAAGAGAGAGACAGAATTTTGTGGCTGAAAAGTTAGACCAGCAATTCAGGTAACAATTCAGAAAAGCACACAGAATTTGAAGTTGGTGTATATTAAGAGACTAACAGATATTCACTTATAGCAGCTTATTGCCATATTGCTTGCCATAATGGTCTATGAATTAGTTTTTCTATTAAATCTTAATAATTATACACCATTATATGATAATTCAAGTCCTAAGAATTTTTGATGTTTTGTGGTGTGAGCTTAGCAAGCATCAATATTACAATATTTTCACTGATACTAACCAGATTGTAGAGGCCACTGATTTTTGTTCTTGTTGTAGTTAATTATTTTTTTTAATAATGTAGGACTATTGCTATTTTTTCAGCCATTGACTAAGCTGTTTGAATTGGGCATGAGCTCCACATTACTTTTTTTATTTTATTGTATCACCGTGAGATAGAGTTATGAAGCTTTCATGTTTGAGATTCAGCCATATAATAATCAAACACCCATCCCTCCACCAGTGCCATCTTCCACCACCAGTGTCCCAAGTATCACCCCCCACACACATACACATCGCAGTCCTCTATGGCAGACAGTTTTCCCAATACTCTCTCTCTAATTTTGGGCATTAATTTTGCTCAAATTTTCCCACCACCATTCAAGTCTACCTGCCAGGGGAAGACACTAGAGAATATATTTTCCATTGCTCATTTCGAATATCACGAGAGCTCGTGCAGCTGTGATTGTAAATGTAAATTTCTAGATTGTAAATGGTTGGGTTCCAGAGACATCTCTGTATGGCACTAATCCATTTTGGGATTCAGTTGGGAGTCTCTGGGCCAGGGCTGTTGGTGTGCTAAGATGGCATCTGGATTCAAATTGTGGGCGTGACAGCCACTCTTCTGGGTGGGCGGGAACCCAGGGAGACACAGCCTGGGTCCTCTGCCACCATTCGGCCTGGGCCTGCAGATTTAGTCCTGGAACACGCATACCTGGGCCTTGCTTGTGAGAACTCTTGGTCACCGGGATTCCATCTGGAGTAGGCAAGGAGACTGTACCTGCTCCATCCGGGGTTCCCCAGTGATATTGGCTCAGTATGGGGCCCGGAGAGATCTCCAGTGCTGTGGTGTCTTCCAGGACTTGCTGCTGTGTCTCTGGGCCAGGGCTGTTGGTGTGCTAAGATGGGTACCCAGAGGCTAATTGTGGGCCTAACAGCCAGTCTTCTGGGCGGGCAGGGATCCGGGGAGGGACAGCCCGGGTCCTCTGCCATCATGCGGCCTGGACATTTAGTCCTGGAACATGCATATCTGGGCCTTGCTTGTGAAAGTATTTTTTGTTTTTTTAAGTCAAAATTGGTGGTCACTGTCACTGTCACTGTCCTCCCGTTGTTCATCAATTTGCTTGAGCGGGCCCAGTAACATTGTGAGACTTGTTACTGTGTTTGGCATATCAAATACGTCACAGGGAGCTTGCCAGGCTTTGCTGTGCGGGCAAGATACTCTCGGTAGCTTGTCAGGCTCTCCGAGAGGGGCGGAGGAATCGAACTCGGGTCGGCCATGTTGGCTGTGTGCAAGGCAAACACCCTACTCTCTGTGCTATCGCTCTTGCTTAAAATTGGTGGTACTCAGGTATAATATTTCTTGGGAAAGTTTGTTCATTTCCCCTCTTTTTCCTCGCTATAATGATCACATGATCTGACTCATGGAATATATTTTATCAGTCTCATAATTTTAGAGTAACTGATTAAGATTTTTATCTCCAGAGAGAATTTTTTTAAAATTCAAATACTACCCAGATATATTTGAAACAACTATTAGCCTTCTATTTTGAGCTCCTATTTTGTGCCTGGCACAAATCTACTGAAATCACTGAGTGATAGATTGATTGGTGTAACCAAAAATGAGTCTCACTTCGAGGTTCTCAGGTTACCGAGTGTGCATGGGGCAGATTGTGGTATGCTCAGGATTTAGGGGAAAAAAATGTTCCAAGTATGTAGAAGGAATAAAAATGTTCATTTTTCACAGTGCTTGATGTTTGAGTAGGTGAAAATCCAAAGATAGGGGCCAGAGTGATTGGACAGCAGGTAGGTTTTTACCTTCACAGGGATTCCAGGTTCCATTCCCAGCATTCCAAATGGTCCCTCGAGCCTGCAAGGAGTGATCCCTGGGTGCAGATCCAGGGAATAAGCCCTGAGCATCACTTGGTGTGACCTGAAAATGAACACCCCCCAAAAAAAAAACGAAAGCAAGCACCCCCCACTTCTCACTCCCACCTCCTACCCTCCCCTCCAAACATACCAGCATGAGGAGGCTGCAAAGTCAGGCATATAGAGGAATTAGGACATGGTTCGGAGGCAAAGCTTTTAGGATCTCCTCTTTGCTGTGAAACTGCTGTTAATGATCTAGACTTCCCCAAAGCCTCCTAGTAGAGGGCCAAAGAGCAATAAGCTGTTGCAGTCAGTGGTACAAATGATAGATGTACCTGCTAACAGTAAATAAGATTACTAAAATGGAAGGAAATGGAATATTTTGGGATTTGGGGTGCTGCTGGAGGGCAGTGAAGGAAACCAGAGTAGGGATGGATATTACAGCCAGAGGGGACTTGCTCCCCTCCTAGTTTTACAGATTTGTAACCTGAATTCCTCAGATCTTAATTTGCCTAAGGCTTCAAGCTTAGTGACCAAGAGCAGGATTAGGCTTGGGTTAGAGTTAGTGGCTGAGAGTGGGATTAGACTTGGGTTCCCTAGCCTATATAAAATTCCATTTTGCCCTCTGCCAGTGGAATTGTCTACTGACAGCTGGAGGAGAAGATGTAGGGTAGCACAAAAGGCGCACCAGCGAGTGCATTTCATTCCCAAGGGAATGTTTTCCAATGAGAATGAGATTTTTAACTGGTTTTATGCTCCTAAAATACTTAGTATATTTGGTAGCATTTTGGAAACTTCATAGAGAAATATTGGATAAGTAAGCAAAATTTCCATTGAGAAGTTGTGTAACTTGTTAGGAAAATCGTCAGCTTGTTTTTGGCGGGGGTGGACAGGGTCGGGTGGGGAGTGAGGAATGGATGAGCTGTACACCCTGACAGTGCTCAGGGTTTGCTCCTGGCTTTGTGCTGAGGGATCACTCTTGGTGGATCTTGGGGAGCCATTTGTGAGAGTTGAGCCAAGTTGTCTGTGGACTAAGGCAAGTGCATTAACCCCTGCACTGCTGTTTCTCTGTTCCTATAAAAAAAAAGTGCCAGCGGCCACGCGACATCTCCTTATATATACAAAGCGATCAGTGGAAAGTAAATCATCCAACATTTCTCCCTGAAAATCAGGCTTAACTCTTTTGCAAACCACAGCACTCAAAAGGAGAGAGAGAACAGAGGGGAATGCCCTGCCACAGAGGCAGGATGGGATGGGGGGGATGGGGGAAGGGAGGGATACTGGGATCCGTGGTGGTGGGAAATGGGCACTGGTGGAGGGATGGGTATTCGAAATAAAAAAATAAAAAAATAAAAAATGCCAGGGTGACCTCTAAACAGTGCAACAGTGCTCTGGGGCCCTGCAGCTCCTCCCAGCAATTCTGGCCAACTCAGTCTGCAGTTCCATGTGAGAAGCGGTGCTGCTTACACAGGCCACCGGCACATGCAGGAGTGCTTAAGGTCCCCCAGTGTTGTTTCAACAAAGCTGGTGGGGGGGGGGGGCGGCGGGGGGGGGATGAGAGTGGGGAGGGCACGTAGTGCTGAGGATCAAACTGAACCAGGTCAGCCACATGCAAGGCAGGAGCCCTCGCCCCTACACTATCTCTTGAACCTTATAATAGTTAGAAATTTTGAAGAAATTCAAATTTCAGATTGCTGTTGTATACGCTAATCTAAAAACAAATCATTTTAAGTGTTTATAATGCAGATAGTGCCAATTCTTTGATAGGGAGCAGCTAGCAGTTTTAATTGTGTATGAAGGACTAGGGTTAAATTTGACCAAGGCTGTGAAAGCCCTGTTACTGAAAATATCGCTGAAGGTTTCTTTCATAAAGCAAGTGGACTGATTCCTACTCCTCTGTGCCCTTCTCTTTTTCCTTATGTCTTTTTTCCTTATCTCTTTTTCGTTCTCCAGTTGATACGCCTTAAATTTCTTTCCACTTTCAGACTTTAATGAATAAATCTGGTATGAACACTCTTGTATATGTCTTTTGATGGACGTATGCATTCATATGGGTGTATTCAATGACATGTCTAGAATATTTGATGCCGAAATAGATCACTTCTCATGCTTCCAATCTTTAAACAAAATTATTTTCAGCAAAATAATTTTAATGGAATGAACAACAATGATAGGATAGTCAGTGATTTTAGTTTAGTAAAAATTTTATTTGTCTGAGGGGGATGGGTGGGTATTGGGAATACAACCTACAACCGGCTGTGCTCAGGGAAAAATGCTTAACCCCTTGTGGTGTTCGTGGGATTATATCCAGTGCTGGAGAGCAAACCAGGCTCAGCCGAAGTGGCTACATGTAAGGCAAGTACCTTCCCTCCTATGTTTTGATCCCTCTAGCCCTAATTTTAATTAAGTAATGTTAATAATTTGTTGTGAGACCTTACTGGTGCCCACTCAAGCAAATTGATGAACAACAGGACAGCACTGTAGTGCTACAGTGCTAACTTTTTTTTTTTTTGGTGTTTGTGTGGTTTTTTTTTGTTTTGTTTTGTTTTTTGTGGGTTTTTTTTTTTTTTTTTTTTTTTTTTTTTTTGCTCTTTGGGTCACACCTGGCGTTGCACAGGGGTTACTTCTGGCTCATGCACTCAGGAATTACTCCTGATGGTGCTCAGGTGACCATATGGGATGCTGGGAATCGAACCCGGGTCGGCCACATGCAAGGCAAACACCCTACCCACTGTGCTATTGGTTCAGTCCTGCTAACTTTTTCTAATCGATTGAGGTTCAGTGATTTACACAAAACTATTAATGATGGTTTACCTTGTACATAATTCCAGTACTGCACCCATTACCAACGTACTTACTTTTCTCCCCCCAAGAACCTCAATGTCCCCCCACCCCACACAAATTCAGTTTTGTGG